TAGACACTGTCATTGTAGCTTGAAGGCTGCCAAAGAGAACATGTGGACAAACAGCGGTGACTATTTTCCAGTAAAACTTTATTTATAAAAACAGCTAGTTCCTAAGCCAGTTTATAATAATTCAATCAGTTAATATATAATGTATTAAAGTATTAATATTTCAGAATAAAAACATTGCTACATAAATAATCTCACAAACATTGCACAATTGTTCAGAGTAGCCTTACTCATAACAGCTGACATCCCAGATGTCTATGAAGAGGTGAATTGATAAACAAAATAGTTTATCTACCAGTGGAATATGATTTAGCAAGAAAAAAAAACAATTACTGATATACATAAATACATATAAAGAATGTATGACTTCTGAATGCAGAGGAAATTTCGTTTCTCCAATTGAAAGTAGAAAGGAGAAAAGGGAAAAAATGGCATAAAATGAAACACAAAAATAAAATAGGTTGACAATAAAAATCCTAAAAAAAAACTCTAATTTCGTAGCCCAGCTGGCATAGCTCAGTGGTTGAGTGTCGACCTATAAACCAGGAGGCCATGGTTCAATTCCCAGTCAGGGCACATGTCCGAATTGTGGGCTCAATCCCCAGTGTGGGATGTGCGGGAGGCAGCCTATCAATGATTCTCTCTCATCACTGATGTTTCTATTTCTTTCTCCCGCTCCCTTCCTCTCTGAAATCAATAAAAACATATATATTTTTAAAAATACCACTAATTACAATAAACATAAAAATGTTAAATCAGTTGATTAAAAATTTGAAAGAACTATAACTTGGTTTAAACAGAAAAATATAAAATCTAGCAATAGCTTTTTTCTAGTAGACATACCTATTTAGCCATATCAACATCCATATTTATATTTATATCTGGAAAGGTTGAAGAGAAAGTATGAAAATATTAGCCAGGATGGTGATTTTAGTGCCAGACAAAAATGTTTTAAGGCATAAACCTTTTTTTAAAAAAATGGAAAAGGAAAAACAAATCAAGCAGATGAAAAAACTTTAAATGTGCGTGTACCCTGTAATGTAACTCAACATATATGAGAAAAAACTGTCAGAATTACAGGGACAAATAAATAAATAAAGTTGGGTATTTTAATACATGCTTGTTAGTTACTGATAGATCAATCAAACTAAAATAAGCAAACAAATAGATATTTTGAATAATAATATTAATATGTTTCATCTAAGATCTAGTGACAGATAATGAACTTTAAAGAACACTCACATCCTTTCAAGTACACAGAGAACAAATACTAAAATTTATCATATATTACATTAAATAGAAAATTTCAATACATCTTAAAGGATTGGCATCATACAGACGACTTCATCTTATTGCAGTGCAACAAAGTAGATGTATTTAATAAAAGGTATCTTTTAAAAATCCAAAATGTCTTTAATTCTAAAGCAATACGTAAGCTGAAAGAAAATGGATGTACCATGTGAAATTTAATTGCAGAGTATGGAAGAAGGAAAACAAAACAAAAACAGCATAATCCATGAGAAAATTTGATGGATTTAACCACCTCAAATTAAAAGACAGAGAATACTATACAAAGTTAAGACACAAATGACACTGTTTAAAATAAGGAATTCTCACCTAGACTATAGAAATAACTGCAAATCAGCAAGAAAAGTATAAAATTGAAAAATTGGCAAAAATGAAGATAGGCAATTTACAAAGAAAGAGACTTAAAAAATAAAAGCCCATGTCCATAAGAAGTCGTGGGAAAATAATAGTTCTGAGGAAAGGAATTAAAGAGGTAGATTATCCAGTAAAATAAGCTGCCATCAAACTCATGTGCTCATAGACCGTAGCATTAAGACTCAAAGGGTAAGATGAACCTTTGATTAGATGGCCGAACAGGCTGAATCAATTCCTGTTGATTCTAATCAAACCCACCATAACTTTACAGATCTTATAGGAAGGAAGGACTTTATAAAATCTACAACTTCAGTCTCGACAACATGATTTATCAATTAGGCTGTTTGAATTGCCCAAATAACTACTAGCCATTGGGGGCAATTTCATGTTAAGCCTTTTTAAGTCCAAATTCCTGTTGACCCTGCAGTTTCACAAGGCCAGCTCACAGTGACTCAGTCTTCTAGAATTCTTCGTAGGATACCTTAACTCACTACCAGACTGTTTGAGGAATCAAATGGGAGGTTTTAGAAGTCCTACATACTTTGATGTATCAAGTTGGTATTAGAGAAATGTAAAATGAACTTTCTACGTAACTTTTTTAAGTCACCATATAACTCAACTACACTAGAAAGTTTTCTAGACAATGTAGTACGTATACAATTCACAATGTGCCTGTCCAAAAGCAAAGGCAGAGCCTTAAGTTTCCCGGAGGTCTTCAATTATTTTAGCACACTTCCTTACTACTCAAAAAATGTAACTTTGTGTGGCCACTTCTTGCTGTTTCTAGGGAAACATCCATACATCTGTGTTCTCAGCTAGGCTATTACAGGCAGCTATTATAATGACTTGATGCAGTTGGAGCTGGCTCAGCCATAAGATGCCAGATGGCCTAGAGGCACCAGAACTCAGGAACAAGGATATCCAAGAAGTTAGCATATTAATGCAGAAGAGAGAGCTATTATTGCTGGGGGTCAAGATGTTTCTCAAGCATCTTTACAGCTATGTCTTCGGGTAAATTTATCATTAATTAGGTCAGCATGTATGTAATGTCAGAGTCACTAGTGCTTGTGTATAAATGTTTACAAGTATGGAAGAGCAATATGTAACTTAAATACTATAGACCAACTGCCATAGTCTCTAACATTTTACCAGAAACACACGTTGAAAAGTTGCTATGAATCCTCATTCCATGCAGCTTGATAGTTATTTATAACTGGAGATGGAATGGTGGTAAGGACGCCTGATTAACATGTTTAAGCTGTGAAACAAAAGTTGTCTGGCCTTATCCATTGGTTTTTATGTAGTCATAAATTAATATTTTATTGAATTATGTATTACTGAATTTAATGAATAATTAATTTGGTTAAATTAGTATTTTAGAAGGTTATTTTCACATTATCTTGTCATATACCCACAAGTCTGGAAAATATTGTGGATTCAGTTCCAAACCACTGCAATAAAACAAATCACAATTTCTTTTGGTTTCCCAGGGCATACAAAAATCATTTTTATACTATACTGTAGTCTATTAAGTGTGTAATAGCACCATGTCTAAAACACAATGTAAACACCTTAATTAAAAGTGCTTTAATACCGAAATATGCTAACCATCTTCTGAGCCTAATGGAAAAGTGGCATTGATAGACTTGTTCTACTCAGAATTGCCACAAACCTGCAAAGCGCAATAAAGTGAAGCACAATAAAATGAGGTATGTCTGTAGCTAAGAATCAACTATCTGAGTGAAAATTTAGAATTACTATTCCATCATTTAACCGATTCATTTATTCACTCAACAAATACTTATTGAGCACTCTCTTTAGTGCCAGAGGTACAGTGACAACTCCTTCGATGTTATGGACTTGCCTTCTAGGAGATTTGTTTTGGGTAAAGTCTAGATGGCAGGTTGGTAGGTGCAATAATTCCACGTGTATCCACTTGAAGGTATATGTGTGTGTCTTAACAAGCAGAACTAATAACTATTTCCTCCAATATTTTTGTTATACCTCCTGCCACTGTCTATCCTGTACCAACTTACATGTCTACTTGGATGTCTAATAGGCATCTTAAACTTAAAATATAGCCAAAACTCCATTCCAAGGTATTCTGCTTCCCATTTCCTCCTGCCATAGTCCCCCCAAGATAAATGCATAGCTTGCTATCACACCCTTCAAATCTCTAAACCAGGGCTGGGGAACCTTATTTCTGCCAAGGGCCATTTGGATATTTATAACATTATTCACAGGCCATACAAAATTATCAGCTTAGAAATTGGCCTGCTATATTTGGTTAAGCATGTCATTGACTAACCCCTAAGGCCTTGGCAGGTCCTGACCACATGATTTGGCAGGCCTTACATGGCCCGCGGGCCAGACATTCCCCACCCCTGCAGTGTCACCTTTTATAGGAAGCCTTCCCAGATCACCCTATATAAAACAGCACCATTCCTATGCTCCCATCCAGGTTGTATTCCCGATACTTCTTATATATTAGCTCTCTGTCTGTTTTCCCAACTAAAATGTATGCTCCATGAAGGTGGGGGTCTGTGCTTCCTGCTGTGTTATCAGTGCACAGAGCAGTGTCTGGAAAGTAGTTGGAACTCAATAAATATTTGTCAGATCAGAGACTGAATTTGTAAGTAACCTCTTCAACGACTCTATCTATTTATCTCTCTACCTATCTAGTTCCTACACTTTACATGCTGCACTAGTTTGGGATCAAAATGATGATTTTCAAGGTTAGTATAGAATAAGATTTTGAAAACACAGAAGTCCAACCTCTTAGCTCTAAGAGTCTCTAAAATCATCTGTAACCATGTCAACAATAAAAATAAATAAATAAAAAACAATATTTCCACTTATAGTGGAGTGTGGCTTAGAAGGAAAAGTTTTAACGACGGTCATTCCTTATTAAATGCCCACACCTTATTTCTATCAGCGCCAAAGTGCTCAGGGAAAAATGCAGAAAACTTCTCTTAGAGCAGTGGTTCTGAACCTTGGCTGCACATTAGAATCACCAGGAATCTTTATAAAGTCCCGATTTCTGGGCCTCATCCTCCGGAAATTGTTTCTTTGTTACTAATGTTGTGGCCCCACCCCATAACAAAGAAACAAGATTTCCGTAGGACGAGGCCCAGAAGTCAGGATTTTAAAAAGATTCCTGGTGATTCTAATGTGCAGCCAAGGTTGAGAACCACTATCTTAGAAAACCCTGCTTTCTAAGTTTGGGGTGAATTTGAGCCACAAACTCTAAAATAAAGTCACCTTCCCCTCCTCTAATCAATAAGTCTAAACAATGAATGCGAACGCACACTTTACAAATCCCACCCGGATACAACCCTTACCTGCATCTCTTGACAAAAGGAAGCCAGTGGCCCAAAAAGAATCTGGCATTGCTCATCAGCGGTGTACGTCATCCCGGGCTGCTTGGAGGGGACCATCACGGCATTGACGCTCTGGGGATGTGTCTGGAGCAAGCAGTTACTGGCCTTTGACCTGACAATATGCAGATATGTGTAAAATTTTGAATTTACTGTAAAAAGTTGTTATCATTAGCATGCAACAGGAAATATTTCATAAGATGAAAAATATGGTCTGATTTTTATTTATACGCATTTCCATTTACGATAATCCTAATAATGATAATAATGTTCAAGATAACAGAATTTTTTGGATTAACTCAGCTAATCTACATAACACTGAGATGGCTTTACTATTTTACACATTTATAAGATGACGAGAGAAGCACAGACTCAGAAATTAGCTTGTCCAAAAGCAATGGGTGAAGGTAAAAAATGAACTACATGCAGGGATTTAAAGAATCTATAGAAAGCATTCTCTAGTGAGTATGCATAGTACGAATATGTCTGTGCTTGACACTGTAATACAACTTCCATTTATGAGGTGACATTTAATTTTATCATAATCCTGATTCATGTGAGGGCAGCCAAACAAAATCACACATGTTCCCCTGTTCCTTAGAAACTCATTAGGGCAGCTGCTCCAGTGACCCGGTGTGTTCATATGACATGCCCAGAGCGCTGTGGCTATACCATCACAACAAAGAGCGTGCACAGAATATATTGTACATATTTCAGAGCAGAATTATGGCAATGTAATACATGTTTTAGTAGATTTAGCAGAAAACATAGGCTTTATAATTTAAATGGTATGTAAAAATGAATTAGATTTCTCAGTGCAGTAAAATTAGCTAACTAGGTGTTTCTATATTTCTTACGTAGACTTTTGGATACTTTAAGCAAACCCTCTCTTACTACTTTTGCCCACTGTTTCAGCTGCTTCTTTTATGATCAAAAGGATAATTAAAGAACATGGGCTTTAAGATAAAAATTAAAACAATAATAATATTTTTCACTTATTTTTCCAACCAGGTGAGAGCTAAGTGTTACTGCTGTTGAAGGTGGAAAGGAGGAGAATCGAGGGCTATTTGTAATGATGAAAACTATGCAGTGATGAAAAAAAAGAGTCAGAGTGCAGAAGCCTCTCAATGAAAAGGTGCAGCTTTGGTGAAAGTGGTGCCTTGTGATGACAAGAGATGTGCTGAGTGACGCGCAATGAGCGTGTTCCCACGGCGAAATTCTGAAGAAGGAATTAGAGACTGTGACAGATTTTTTAAATCCTTATAATTTTTCAACCTTACAAATCACCTTGCCCAATGTTTAATTGGAAAATGTGGAAACTAAGAAGCAGGTGGGTTAAATAATATGTCCCAATCCACACTATGAGACCGTGGAAGAGCCAGAATTGGGACCAAGTGCCTTGATTCCCAATCTGGTGTCCTGCTCTGCCATGCCACCTTCGCTGGCTGGCAGAGGAAGCAGGCACACATAATCATTCATAACACAGCAACAGTAAGTGACCTCAGTACCTTAGAAATCTTCCCAAATCTTCCTTGCTACATCGGGACCATGAAACATCACCAAGGTTTTGTCCTTTAATCCATTCACCAGACATGATATGAAGACCGTCAGCACATGACGGGTGGTCATTGTCATGATTAATGCCCATGCTGATTCGAAATATAATTAAAATTTTAAAATTACATTAGATAAGTACTTTTAGCTTTTTTAAAACTGCAATTAAATAACAGCTAAAGACTTACAATAATGGGAGAGAAATTTGTTATAAAGTTCAAATAAAATCAGATTTCAGATTGATTGATTTTTTTAAATGTTGTTATATTTCTATTTAGTAAAAACCATTTTCCCAATCAACCTAGCAAATAATATGCTTAGTTCACCTATATAGAAGTCATCTATAGATATATTTTTCACATGGTAGTTGTATGAGACACATAGAAGTAGTAAATTTCTATTTGGCCAACTGAGATTCCTTCTCTTGACTGGAGATCCTTTATTCATACATTATATCACATCCACAACCACATTAAACTATCATTTTCACTGTGCGCTTCATTGGACCATCTTCTTCCACTCTTCAGATAACACAAACTGTCTCTGGGAAACGACATTCATGGCCATCTTTAGTTTTCCTATTGAATTCTGAATCTGTTTTGTTAGGTTGGAATTCCATTCTAAAAATCTAACTTAAAATGTACTAAAATAATTTTAAATTGAATATGTCTAAAAACTGCCCTTTTCTCACTGTGTTTTGATCTAGGGAATAGCCTTTCAGAATGAAAAATTGTGAATAACAAGAATATCTATAGTGTGTTTTAAAACACTAATAAAAGAATTATGATAGAAGCTGCTAAGGAAAAAGACAAGTAGACTACATTTTCTCAAATAAAAAAATTCTCAAGACTATCAAACTATATTTTCATTAAGATAAATTAAGAATTTAAATAAAAATTATTATACTCAATATATTTTGAAAGAAAATTCTATAGATGGAATTAATTAATGAATAAGAGTAATGGAATAACAAGTTCACCATGTTTCCTATCTTTGAAGACTATAAAAATTATAGCCTAAATGAAACTAAAAACACTTTATTGAATATCATTTTTTCACTTTTAGTGTTAAAAAAATTAGCTATATGATGAATCACATTTATCTTTCCTAGTCTAATTAATGCCTTTAAATAGGGTCTGTATCAACACACATTAATAAGATGATTAACAGAGAGAATAAGAAGATGTGTGTTTCTCATACTTTGAAAACAAAGAGGAAAAATAAGAGATGCTGTCAAGCAGGTATGGGCCAGCTCAGTTACTAGGGGTAGAGTGAAAAATGTTGGAGTTAGAGATTTGAATTCTGTATCTTCCTTATTCATGTGAACAGAGGCAAGTTAAATAATAATAATAAAATAAATGTGCCTCTGTTTTCTCATCTGTTTAAAATACTTTACTGACTGGCTGTGACATTTGCATAGGGATGATGTACAATGCCTGGCACAGTGCTGGATTATAGTAGGAATTCATAACTATTCTTTTTATTGGGGCAGTAAATCAGAGAAATACATCTTATTGTTTGAATTTGTCGAAAAACACAAAGCGATAAACATCATTAAAGATAATCATTAAAGGTAAACTGTTGGATTTGCTGACTTTGGTGAAAGTTGTGGACTTAAGGAAAACCAAGAACATAATAAGGACAAGAATTTACTTTGTTCCAATGTTAAATTAAAACAAGAAATTGCAAGTATGGCACCATCTCTTGGATGGATAAGGAATCCTCAGTGCATTTCTAACTGTACGGTTCTGGCACAGCCCCTGCCAGCACCGCTGTCCCCTCCACCACAGAGCCCAGCTGAGCAGTGTCGCTGGGTGACTCTCATATCAACGGGCACCGGCCACATGGAACACGCTCAGCCCTCCATCGGTGGTGTGCAGTCCTCTGAACCATACACAAATACTATTATTTTTGAAAGACAATTGATCTTTCTCAGAAATAATAAAACTTCTTAAATAATGTGTCCATTTGAGAGAAGAAGAGGAACTGCTTCCAAGATTTAGCAATTTGGACATTCTCCCCAAGTAGTGTAATGCGATTTTCTAAATTGGGAAGATTACAACTTCTCATCCAGATGAGCATTTTCCTTTTGGGATCTTGATTCTCATGTAAGAAATTAGCTACAGCCACGGAGAAAGCTGGTGATTCAAGCATTGTTTACCGTTAGTTAAATTTTCCTAAAGCTATTTAACTTGTAACAAAAAAGATTATCATTAAATTGGGACAGGGCTTTTTACCACGCATCTGGACCTGTCATCAGGAGACATTGCTTAGTCCTGATTCTACGCATTTGAAATAAGACAATTAATTGTGAACCTTTATCTGTTCCAGCCACTATATTAATCATTTACAATGATGATATCATTTACTCCTCACAGTATTCTCATAATGTTTCCATTATCATGACTTCTATCTTACAGATGAGGAAGGCACTGAGGTTAATTAATAGTGGAGCTGTGTCTCAGACCCAGGCAGTCTGAAGGTCAAGTTGAGAGACCTCTAAACCACCAAAATTAGAGATTTTTTTTTTTAAAAAAGAGGAGGTGCCTCTCTTTCTGGATCAAAACTCTCAATTAGTGCGAATGATTTATTGTTTTATATTACAAATGTCTCCTCTCTGGTAGCAAAAATGTCCATACAGTCCCACAGCCAAGTTGTATGCATCTCGAAGTGAGACACTAGCAACACTTCCCCTCACACTGTGCGACTGAGCTACATTTTAATAATCTCAGTTTAAATTCATTTTGACAAAGAGCCTTGGGCAAATAAACTCTCCACTAACATTGTACATGGTTGTCAAGTCAACTGAAAAAATATTTTTATCTTATAAAACTTCTCAACTTTTAAAACTCCCTGCCAGGCAGTTGTGTGATATCCTGCGGAAAGCTGGGGGGAGAGGCACTCGGATTTGAAGATGGTCCCTTTGATGGTTAAAGAGCTACAGAAGAGAACATATATAAATTCACTCACACTTTTTGGATAATTTTTAAAAGATCAATATTTTAAAAGAGTAAGTCTGTGTTGAACACATTAACCATTTTATCATGATACATTATTTCGCACTAAAAGCCACATATTATATGGAAGAACCAATTTTAAAAAGAAACTAATTATAGCAATATCTAACTGGAAGTGGATTGTATTTCCACAAAATCACATTTAATTTCATACAATTCATTGGCTATATCTGATTTGATGTAAGTCCACTGCTGTGTGTTCATGGAAAAAAGACTAACATTTGAAAATACAAGATATTTTCATTACTTTTCATATTTCATTTCAATTATTTCAACTTGCACAAAACAATTAAATATGTACCTCTATTGCAAGTCAAAAGCCAATTAAAAGCAAGTTAGCAACAAGGTAAAAAAAAATTAGAGGTTAATTAGAGATACAAAAAGATTCCTTTTGCCGGAACCGGTTTGGCTCAGTGGATAGAGCGTCGGCCTGCGGACTGAAAGGTCCCAGGTTCGATTCCGGTCAAGGGCATGTACCTGGGTTGCGGGCACATCTCCAGTAGGAGGTGTGCAGGAGGCAGCTGATCGATGTTTCTCTCTCATCGATGTTTCTAACTCTCTATCTCTCTCCCTTCCTCTCTGTAAAAAATCAATGAAATATATTAAAAAAAAAAAAAAAGATTCCTTTTTACTTTGCCATGTGTTATGTAACAGGCTTATCTAGCAATTCAACAAACACTTGTTGAGAACCCACTATATGCTGTATATGCTGGGTACACAGCTGGAGTCATGAAAATGAATAAGATCCAGTTCTTACCCTTAAGCAGCTAATAAATGCCTGGATCCTGTTAGTTCTACATTCCTTAAAGCTCTCCTCTCCTCCCTCCCTTCACACCACTACTATGTACTGTCAACCCTGACAAGTGCTAATTCTCTTCAATCCTGGATTGTAATGTCTACTTCACTGACCTCCTGCCCCCTAACTCTTCACATTGCTTTAATTACTTTAGTTTCTTAGAAATACATTAATACACGAACTAGTTTCCTAGGCAAAATCTTTTCATTTTCCTTGACAAGCAATTTACTGAAAATGTGAACTGTGTGCATCAGAATCGGAGGGCGTGATGATGTTGGGTTAGTGACAATGCAGCTTCCTGGGCCCTACTCCAACTGATTGCAAGAGAATATTTAGAGATAAGGCCCAAGAAACTATGTTAACACATTTTATAGATGATTCTTACTTAAAATTCAGAGAACCAATGGACTTTAAAAAAAATCTTTTTAGAGAGAGAGGAAGGGAAAGAGTAAGAGAGAGACAGAGAAACATCAACTGATTGTTCCTGCAAGTGACCCTACCAGGGATCCATTGAAACCACAATCTAGGTATGTGCCCTGGCCAGGAATCGAACCCACAACCTTTTGGTGTACTGGATGATGGTCCGGCCAACTGAACCAATTGGATGAACCAATGATCTTCTTATCCTGTTTTTCAAACAATCTGCAAACTGACTTCAATCTAATTTTCACAGGAACGGTTCATTCCAGCCTACTTTTTGCACAGTGCTTTCCTTTCAGAATGCTTTCCCCAGCTTATCTGTATTTATAAATTCAACTCAATTTTAACACCTTCTTCCTGCATAAAAGACGCTTCAAAAATCCTAGCGTATATTTCTCACAATCCTAAACTTCTGTGCCCTTCAAATATATGGCAAGTAAGATATATCAGAACTACCTTCTATTTCTGGTGAATTTTAAGTGATATATATAAACTATTTTCACCTAGAATTTGTGTTCAGAGACCAAGAACTGTCATATTTTCTTTTTAATTCCTTGAATCTACCTAATTAAATAAATGTCTATAGAAAATACAACTAAATATTCTGTAAATGTGATGAAAAGTTGGAACTAATGTGGCTTCTTACTGGCTTAGAGAAACCGTAGCCTGAAAAGTCTACAGATATTCTGCTCAATCAATGTTGCTTGCCTTACTCTAGGACAGGGGTGGGGAACATCCGGCCCGCAGGCCACAAATACGGCCCACGAAATCATTTGGTCTGGTCCTGCCAAGGCCACTGCAGGCGGGACTTCAAATTCAATAAATCTAGGAGCTTTTTCCATAGCAACATGCATTTATATGA